GCCGGAGGCGGCAGGAGGCGCAGGTGGCTGGCACAGAAAAGTCTCGCATCAAGGCTCACCACTATACACCCTGGTCCACAACGTACACTGACCTGGACTCTATACAGCAAAAATGGGCACGGCTCGTGGAAAGTTGTGTGGTCGACAAGACAAAGATTTCCAATCATAAGTCAGGGAAAGCGCAGGGAGTTGGACAACCTTTACTGTTTTGGAAGTGTGTATACAAAGGCTCTGTGGGCAGTCGCCGCGAGCGCGCTCTCCATGCAAGTTGTTTGTGTCCGCCTTCGAGTTGCTGAGACCCAGCGTGTGTGTGCGCCTTTCACTGTCTCCGCGTCCGCCAGCCGATCAGAGGGGGGGCAGCGCTGATTGGCCTCGAGCACTCACGGGGCTAGTGACAAGCCTCGCGTGTCGCAGCAGCGTATCGACTAGCGTGTGAGGCGAATAGAAAGGCAGCGTGACAAATGCGAAGGGCCAGGAGACGCGAACTGCCAGTGTCCCCCGGCTAGACCGAAGGCGGTGCGTAGCAACGTCGAAGGAATTGTTCATGTCTAAAAAAACATGAGTAACCAAATGCTCAAGAAAATGAAAATGGCGTCCACTAAGGGTGATATATACAGGGGGCACAGGGGTAGAGTGAATATGGCTCGTGGTAACAATGCTGTTGGTTAATGAAGAGAGAGTTGTAGTTGGGGGTTGCGGACATGGGGACAGAGGAAGTATACGGGACGGTGGGATTGAGGGTCGGGGAAGTTGAGCAGGGGGTAGGGGACCACAGAGCTCATCCGGAGGAGTGTCCGGGACGGCAGTTTTGAAACGATCCACGCTCACGACCTCCTCACGATTGTCGCGTTGGATGCGAAAGTTCTTCTTTTCACGAGCGATACCTCGGATGGGGCCGTCGTTGGATGGTTCCAGGGGCCGGCGAACTCGATCACATCGGAAATAGACGTAAGAGCATGTTGCCAAGTCTTTCTCGAGGTAAGACTCGGAGACGGATGGCCTGGGCGGAATGGGTAATGTGTTTGCATGAATTGCCGGAGGTGATGCAGGAGGTTGGTAGGATTCTCAACTGCAACTCGCGGGGTTGGCGAGATCATCTGACTGGGAAGTCGGGCGGCGGCACCGATCACGAGTTCGGCAGCAGAACAGTCAAAGTCCGAATTGAGGGAGGAGCGAATGCCCAGTAGGACCAGGGGTAGGTGGTCTATCCAGTTCTCCGGATCGTCTGCAGCGCATAGGGAGGCCTTCAGCTGGTTGTGAAACCGCTCGACCAGGACTCTTAACATCAAAAATGGGGGCGGCTCAGATTCCAGCCGAGTGGGAGCGCCATAAATGTCCCATTAGAAGGAGCCTGACTGTCCCTCCTTCTCGGAGGAGGACCGAGTTATCCTCCCAGTCGGTAGTCTCCCAAGTCACGGCTTTTAGCGCATCGTGTAATATTTAAGCGCGTCAGACTTTGAAGAATATGTGCTGGGAGTGTACATCCCTCCCCCTTCCCCCTCCCAATCACCAACTCACTGGACCAGCCGGTCGGTTAACAGATGCAGGAATTTGGAACAGTGGCTGACAGAACTAGAGAGTTACGTCTTCGCGTGCCACATACAAGACCCGATGATCCGCGCCACACCACACCAGGGTTTTACACAAAGGGGGATGGACTATATGGATCTCACATGTAGCGGATGGCTCACACGGAGGAGCCTTAGAAAACATTTCCCACTTGCGTGGGAGGTGCCTACTTCGTTGGCGCGGTCAGGCAGGTTTACCTGTGGAGCATGCGTTGATAGCGAAACGCCTGGCAATGTTTTTCAATCTGTCCTGGTTTATTACAGGTGTTCATGGAGGCGCACGTGACTGAGGAAGCCCATTTGATGGCTGAATGTGCAGGTGCAGTGCGGAAAAGTGAGACAATGGCGATGGGTGTATTGCGGTGTCCCTGGCACCGGTTTGCCAGTCTTTGTGCTAAGGAATCGCAGGTGACCGACAAAGCCTATGCGTGTTGTGCATGTGTGTCGACGGTGTAAACAAACTAAACTGGAGACTGCCAGTCCAGTTGCGATGATTATGCTGTTAGTATTGGCCGCGCTTGCAGATAGGGCGTCGGTAGTGCTGGAAGTGTAAGAGATGTCGGGTGTAAAGGCTGTGTTTTTGCGTGTCGGTATCACGATGCATGCCCTTGTCGTGGACATGTACGTGATAGAATGGACCCATGCGATGATTGGATGTGCTTACGCAGTGCAAGCATCGAGGGCGGATGAGGCGGGTGTAAGTCGGAGTTCCTGGCACTGCTTTGCCGGTCACAGTGCAGCGGATTTGCAAGTGGCCGACCAGACCGTTGCGTGAGATGAACGTGCGATTACAATGGGGACACGACTGAGATCGAGTGCGCATTGCTGGCGCTGGTGTGGGTACTGGTTGACGCGACGTCGGAAGAGTCCTCATTGGTAGCGGGAGTGGGATATGTGGTAGTCGTAGCAGGGGTTCTGCCGGAGATGTGGGCGACAGCGATGGGGTAGCAGGGGTGTAACCGTCGGTGGTTGGGGGGGGGGGGATTCCGTCAGGGATGCGGGCGACAGAGCATCAGGGTGTAGTCTTTGAGGGTGTTGTGGGGTCGGTGCAGTAGCGACTACTGAAGTGTTTTTGGAGGCAACATGTGGGCTTGTTGGATTGTTATTGCATCCATATTTCCTCACACTTCGTGCGACTCAGTAAACAGCGCTCCGATCCAGTTCCCGGACCGCTTCACGATTGCCTTATGTACCAGCTCTCATACACAACCCATACTGACACTGCCTGTCTTCGTCACGTGATAAACGCACATCTAGTCATTCAGGCTCACCACACTTAGCGAGTCAGCGGAATCCTACCAGAATGTCTGTACGGAATACATGACCCCCACACACATGGCTCTTCTAATCACATAAAAAACACCGGGTTCCGGAATTATGACGCTTAGGACACACCCACTACGGTGGTCCCGGGTACACTTAACGACTGCGCTTCAATGGCTTGGTCCATCACTGAAGTGGCCCTGAATGCGTTAAAGGAAAGTCACTTTCTACAAACAACTGTTCCTGAATGAGGTTAATCCTACTCACGTTTCGAATAATTTGACATGGTTGGCTTTTTGAAAACCATTAAGAGAAAAGCACTACCAGTCACAACTGAGTCATTTTTATTTATTTTATCAAGGTTGACTTCTTTAGACAGACGGACTTTATGTTGCAAAATGATTCGCAAGACCTGTTGGACTCCCTCGCACGATTTCGGAACGAATTCGGCGAACTATCCTCCATATTTGAAATTGGTGAGCTGATCAGTTCTCAATAGTTATTAATAATTCAGTATGACAGACAGCAATGAATTATCCGATTCCGTTGTTTATTCCTCGCTTTAGCCTCTTTCCTTTAATTCTCAAAGCAAGGGGAACCCGTTAATTTACGTTTTCAGGCCATAGCATTTTCATCGAATGGCGCAGATGGTGATATAAGATATTTTGACCCAACACTAAAAAAATTCGGCGACTTAGATGAGATTCGAACCCACACAAGTGCGTGTAAGGCTTGAGTACAGCTACCGAACTAGCTACCTGAGGTATGAGATCCCACCAGAGCCATGAGTTTAATCTCATTGGACCAAGTTACCTGCCCAGCTTACTGCAACGTATGAAATACGCCGAATCTGATATGGTAAACTGATTGTTCAAGCAGCATTTAAAAGTGATTCATCGGGAATCTACCAGATGACCACCAGACTCGTGTAATTAACAGGCGCTTCAGCAGCTTTTGAATAATTCATTTCATGATAATAGTGTGATGTACAGTAGATATGTTATTTTACGAAAAATTGACTGAAATTCTGAAATGCTTTTTTTCAATTCCAAAAGATTATTTAAGTAGGGTTATAATATTGACCATCATGTAGCACAGTGTAAAAATATTCCAACCACGCCAGGATACGGCATTTGAATGAGCTCCTCTTACCCAATGTGAGGGCAGAAACGGATAAGGCTGGATGAGGCATATTCTCACTGGTGGTCGGGAAAGTAGACTAGAAGCCTTCACGAGGGATTGCCAGTGAGATCTCGTCTAAAAGTGGGGTTATTTCGTGATCTAAGTCGGTTGGGGATTTGCGGGATTCAGACATGGCGAATCAAGGTAAAACGATAACCACAGGAATTTATATTCTTGGATATAAGAAGAGCGGGAAAATGTTATATCATATCTCGGAACAAAAGTAAGAAACATGACTAAGGATGTTATAGCAATATATAAAAAGGCACTGGTACAAAACGCTAATTTAAACTTCAACAATGAACTCGGCAACAAGTGTACAAAGCAAGATAATAAACGATAGATACTTTACATAGAGAAACGGTTAAATGGAGAACGGCAGTTAGCGGGTGCGCGGAAAGGTAGTATCTGCCTGAAGTTCGCGGCCCGGAGAAAATGGCAACTTAAGTAGCATGAATTTTTGCCACTGATTTTGATACCCCTGATAATTCTAATATATTTCATAAGAACATGTACAAAATATTCCTTCGTTTACTCATTCGGTAGCACATAAAGTCTTCTTCAAGTTTAATACTTGAAGGGAGGAAATCGCTCGGTGTTAAAAAAAACCTTCTCGATCCGCGATTAATTTTGAACCCGACCTGCCGTTCAACTTGCATTTACGGTTTCGAAACTACGAGCTGTATACTTTTCGTACAAGGAAAATCACATGCTTCTGCATGCTATCATGAGTAGGACAAACAGGTCTCATCAAATTTGTAGTGTATTTGGACCATGTTATTCACTTTATACGCGACATTTCTAAGTGTGTTAATGCGATGCTGTACGACCGAACACTTCGTGGTCTCGAAAAACCATATAATTAGAAACACTTTCAACACCGCCAGATGTTCTTTCTTCAAGTAGGAAGTTTGAAGAAACGTAGTTTGCTATCAAATGAATGGAGGAAAAAAGCTTTTGTGCATGTTTTTTTATAAAATAGATGTAAATTTGAAGGGGGTATCGTAAATCAATATCAAAATTCATGCCAATTAAGTTACCATTTTTTATGGGATGCGGTTTACGCAGGCGGTCGATGAGGAGATTGTTCGAAAGCCGAAACCCTGACTTGGCTGAAATATCTTGGGATGATACTGCATGATAATTGATATCAAAACCCCACATAGGTAATCTTTTCGAATTAAAAACGCATTTAGAATTTCGGTTAATATTTCAGGAGTTGGCAAATCTAGCGAAAACGGTGATCAGCCTACCTGACTCAGGCTGGAATAGCCAATCAGAAACCGATGCGAGGAAGCCTGTGAGCGCACAGCATGGCGACAGTGGTCACGCGCGCCAGCCGGCCGGATACCAAAGCGAAAAAGAGACCATGAAGGCCTGTCTGCGAAGGCGCGCGCAGAGGACATTTCGGGTGGGTGGGTTTCCCGCTGCTGACGCTGGCTGACATTGGCGTGCAAGTTACGCACCATGTGGTGCCGTACAATGGACAGAGTTGCAATTCCACAGGGGGACGCAGTGGCTGCCCCAGTGATGTGAAACTTGTTTTGCCTGAAATGCCAGGGGCTCTGTTAGATGGCACGAGAGTGGCATCCACCGGTTTGTCCCACTTACAGGACAAAGCAGTCCTGTTCGGGTTTCGACTTCGATATCCGGTCTGAGCGCTCCTTAGGTGATTGTTCGACTGTCGCGAGTCATGAGATCAACCGCGTGCGTCATGAAGTGTACGCTGGAGCGGCGGCTTGCGCGTGAACTAGTTTATGATGAGGTAGACTTAGACAGGATCTACCACAGTCTATTCTACCTCACCCACGTGGCTCCGACGGAGAACAATGTCAAGACCGCCGGTGGTATGCTCCGAGGCAGTGGCTGACAAAGTTAAACGGTCAATCTACATGTGCCATAAGCAGCCTGACTCCCGCAGCATGTTTCGGGCTTTCACAAGGAAGGCTGCTCGAATCCCATCAGATTGGAACTCCTTCGGGGCGGCATTCGGGCGAGCCATTGAACCGGATTCCTAGTTCTCGAGCTAGTCACGCCATGTACACGCACAGACAGGCCACGAGCAGCGAGTCATCTAGTCGGTTGGCCGCCCAGCACGACCCAACATTTGGCATGTCGTAATTTTTTCAAAAGAAGCAACGAGGAAAGCCCTCAGGTCCCGTAGGGAGAAATTCCCCTGTGTCAACCTCACTCTCCCTTCCCTCTCGCATGTACCAATCCGCTGTCCGAAACGGTCAGTCGTCTGGCGTTTGAGTTGGTGTTGCGACTGACTACGCTGCCTTGTTTAATTTCCGAGGAAATTAACGCGCGAACTTGAAGTAAATCTTTCCGGACAGACCTTTTCAGGCACGTTCGAACTTCCCTGTGAATAGTTGAGCTGAAATTCATTAACTACTGCGGAATAACCGCGTAACATTCACAAACCGCCAACAGGCAGACAGTTGTATAGAATTGTGCAATTATTTACCGTACTAACAGCAAAGGAAATTAAACAAGGCAAGGTGAAACTGGAATTCGTATAACAGAAAACACACGGGGAAGGCTGGGGGAACCCACTGCTGAGCCGAACCTCCCGCTGCGTCAGGCAGCGGCACGGGATCGGCGAAGCACGTGTGTCTGAGCTTTCAGCTTCTACCTGTGTTGTAATTATGGCAAATAATTACGCAATTCTAGAGTTACGTTAGCTAGCGTGCGTGTACCATACATGACCTCGTCCTCCCGTACAAGGTGCCCCATTTTCACAAAATGCATGTTCCAAGCTACTGAAAGGCGGCTTAAATCTCACGCAATAGAGGTGTCATAGAGATCTCAGTAAGATGGAGTCCTTGCATGCCGACTCTCAATCCTCCCTCAACTCCAAAGTGTCCACCATGAGGGCCGAGTTATCCTACCAGTTGGCAAGCGTCTTAGATAGTCCTGCGGTACTAAACAGCCAATAAACTAGAAGTATCATCTTCAAAAACCGGGTAAACATGAATGGGTTTCTTTTGGTTTGCCTGACGTCAGTGGTTAACTCTGCTCCGTTCACGGAACTTGTTTAATTAATAAGCAGGAGCTCTTCTACTCAGCCGACGCCTCAAGATGCAAGGATCTACGGAAGACAGTAACATGGCGGGTACACAATGGAACCCGATCCGAATAGAGAATTCCGATCGTTTCATCGTGTTCTTGAGGCTGATGTCAGCCAATAGAGCAGACATGTCCACACCAGTTTCTCTTCTCTTTGTCGGTAATACGTCTCGCCTATCGAAATAGTAAACTTCATGAAAGTATCGATGAGGACTGATTGCATTTGACGTGTCTGGACGCTGGCGTTAAGGCATTTCGGGACGTAGAGTGTAGAGTATCTGGATTCGCATGTCCGAATTGTTAAATTTTACCTTATAAATGACGCCAAAAACGAAAAACGGTATTATCATGAATCTCTGCTTTACTGTGGTTTTCAGAGTAAACTGGTTTTCAGAGGACGAGGTAGCGCGCATACGTAGCTTTCGATAAATTCTCGTCGGGCCAGTACAATTATATGGGAAGGGGGTAGAAGTAAAAAACATCAGTGATAAGATAAATCGATTAAAGTTCGTCTTAAAGCACAGGCTGGGTGTGGGAATGTGAGGGAGGGGGGGGGGGAATAGCAGTCAGTGTCAGGGGCGGCGTGAGAGCGGAAGGACGCGGGAGAGTTGTAGCGTTAGTCGACCTTCGACCGCTGCAGGTGCGGAGCCTGAACGTGGTTCTTCTGTGCGCACAAGATTGGTTTTCGCAACCTGATGGCGACCGTTTCTGCTGTTGCTAACAGGTGCTGTCCCAGGGGTTTAGGATAGGTCGGTGGGGCCTTATAGATCACACGAAACGCTTCACTGGGGTCTACATGAGGTCCGGAATCGACAACGTGCGCGAGAATGGCGCTGCTTATGCTCCTTTTTTCGCCTTTTCCTGTATTCTCTTGAATAAGTGCCGACTCTTGCGACCAATATAACCTGCTCCACAGGAGCAAGTGAAGGGATAGATGCACATTGTGATGGTCTGCGGTAACAACTTATCCTTGCCTTCTCCGGGTTACTGGCGAAGGATACTTGAATTCTTGCCGCCGGGAAGGTTCGCGAGACAGCTTGATTAAGTCGTCTCTTTAGGAGTTCACTCGAAGCGTCCCCTTGGAAAGGGACTTTAAGGAACACAGTTTTCTTTTCGGCTGTCGGTGTGGCGGGTTTTACCGGCCGTTCGGCCATATTCTATGCAATAAACCTGTTCGGGTATCCGTTTTCAAGAAGGAAGTCCTGGATTTTTCTAAGTTCCTCCTCGATGCTGTCTGTTGATCAAATGTTTCTTACTCTTTGTGGCAAACATCGGACTAGAGTTCGTTTTTGTTGGAGGGGTACAAAACTGGCAAAGTTCGCTTATTGTCCAGACCAGGTTTTCTTCCGATAGACGCTTCTTCGGACACTCCCGTCAGGTCTCCTGCTTAGAAGAACATCTAAGAAAGGAAGCGAACAAGTCGTTCCGATCTACAGCGTGAACTTGGTCGACGGATGGGCCTGATTTACAGCATCTAAGAGGGTAGCTATGCTGGTTTCAGCAGTGGCAATTGCAAAGATATCATCAACATAGCGGCCGTACTGTTTAAGTTTTTCGATCTGATCGCGTAGTTTAAATCTCTCCAAGTTGCCCATGAAGACATCGGCTAGGCGAGGTCCAAGAGGCGAGCCCATAGCAACGCCGTCTATTTGTCTATGAAGTTGGTTGTCAAACAGGAACCGCACATGTAATGCGCATCTTAGTAATAGTTCCTTGAGCGTCTTCGTTGGAGAAAAATGGTTAGCCAGCCTTAATGTGGTCTTCAGAGTAAACTGTTTCTGAAGAAAAAACACGAGAACAAACAAATTTTGCACTACAGTGGACAGCATGGTATTACTGCTTAAGGTTTATATTGATGAAACATGGTTTTTGCGGAACGGAGATGACGCCTGAAAGCTGAGGAGGTCCCGAGATCCCTGAAACCACATCGGCGTTTCTGGCGTCTCGGAACAATTCGAGAGTCAGTCATCACAGAATGAAAGCCAATTCAGGGCAGGTTGTGCCGATTTAATCCATTTAAGCCAGTAGTTCGTCTTCGTACCGTAAACGACACGGTGTTAGTGTCTGCAACCCAACCCAGCGACGCTGAACACAGCTTGCGTCAATGCTATGGTTCGCGTTTTCCTACAAAGCGCACGTGAGAGAAATGGCAGCACGTGACTTTTGACGTGGGCGTATTGCATTCACCCAAAGATACCGTAGCTACTCAAACGGTGGTAGTACGCAGAGCGCAACAATTATCAGGCCAAGTCCCGGTTAACAGAAGACGAAGACGCCTAAATGAGGACAGATAACACCTTACTACTGTCTTGGCCAGCGGCTAGCGGTGTGAAATCATGCATGAGGGACCGAGCGTGACTGCGGTGTGACATGGCAACGCCGGTGCTCCCGAACAATCCACAGCTCCAGTAGAGTGCGCTGCCGGTGAAAAGCGGCGACACCTTCCTGAATCGAGTCATCCGGTGGATGCGCTGGACCAACACGGGTGATAGATGGCTGCCCGGCAGGCGGTATCGGGAATGCGTACCCATAACAGCTGCCAACACTCAGGGTGCGGTAGCAGACCCGTTTGCAGACCCACCCCGCGCCAACTGGGATCCCCGCCGCCCGTTGTTGTTGTTGAAAATCCTGGTTAAGTGTTTGTTATGGACCAGGGGGTGTGATTGTACGTCCAGGTGTGGGTTTCACCGTGCTAACCGTCTGCGGCCTCTCCCACGTCTGGTCACTCTGACTTGGTCATGACATCGGGCCCAGACGGGAGAGGAGGAAGAGAGTGTGCCGTAGACGCCGCGCAAGTCTACTCTCACTATAAGCTAATTCCCGCACGAGTCACCGTCCCTGCCCTCACCTTGCTGTCAGTAGCCGGGTAAGGGGACGCGAGAATTTGACCGGCCAATCTAAATCATCATCTAGTCTG